AGCGGACTGAAGCTGGCCCGAGCGAGTAGTGGTGTGGGTCGGACGGGCGCAGCGCGGGGGAGGGGTTCGCCGAGTAGTGGCCGTTGCGATGATCGTGGGGCATGATGGCTGGGGATGTGGTGGTGGAGTGGGTGTATACGCTTCGGTCGGAGGGGTAGATGGCGGGTGAGGCTTGGGCGAAGGTGTATTTGGATTGGGCGGGTGGTGGCTCGACGTAGGTGGGTGATACAGCGTCTTCCATTTCTTCGTCTTGCTCTTCGTCTTCGTCGTCGTCGTCGTGCATGCGTCGGACTGGTGGTGGCGGGAGCTCGGATGTAGCTGAGGATGGGGAGTCGCGGCGGGAGTTGGCGGTCTTGAGGTCGGAGACGCACTGCTCGAGGTATCGCATGTACTCGATGGATGCCTGGGTGTGTTAGTATATGAATGTAATATTGGTGAGTATCGGGAAGTACCTGTAGGATGGCCAGCTTGTGCATCTCCTGTCCCCTACACGCCGGAATCATGTCCTTGAGTACCCCAAACTCCTCGTTCATCTTGGACCTTCTCCTCCGCTCGATCAGACTGTGTGCCGTCTTCCTTGCAATCTTACGTCCCGCAGCAGTGGCGTTACCCGCCTGCTTCCTTTTGGTACCATTAGTGGCAGCGGTCGTGGTCTTCGCATCCTGTGTTTTGGACGAGGTCTTGGGGGTTTCCTGGGTATCCTTGGGCTTCATCTGAATGATCTTGCGGGATCGGGTAGGCGGAGGCGGAAGAGAATAGTCGTCCTTGGTGATGATGCTCTGCTGGGAGCGTTTGCGCGCATGACCGGGCTTGGAAGTCGCGACTGGGGACGACGGGGAAGGTGGCCGGTAGGACGAGTCTGAGGCATTTTCGGATTTACCAGAGGAGCTAGCTACACTTCCTCTACCACCCAGAGCTGCGGGTGGCAAGTTGAAGCTCGTCTCCAATTGAGGGGCATTGGCGCTGCTCTTGCCGGTAATGTCTGTCGACGGCTGGGGAGTCGGAGGGAGGTTTGGGCGAGGCATGATGGGAGTAAAGGCGCTCATAGAACGTCTTCAGCCAGTGTCCCGCGCGTAGAATAAGTCAGAGAGCGACAAAGAGGGGATAAAGGGACGGCAGAGACAATGTATGGCGTACATTATCAGCATCGGGGTGTCGCGTGGGCTCTTTTGTGTCGCAGCGCTGGGAGAAGGATCCCGTGGGTGTCCTGCGCTCCCATGATTGGCTGGCCGGCCAAGATACCTCAGGAGATGGCGCCAGTCCATCGCGCCTCCTATGAGAACGTCACCCTGGGAGCGTGGGCGTCGCGGCCACTGTAGGCCTCTGCGAAGCTGCAGCTTCTTGAACGAGTGGGCCGACCATCGCGTTGGGAGTAACCGTGGCGAACGCTGTTGAGGTCCAAATGGAGCACGTGCTCGTCTTTCTTCCCCTCCGCCGGGCGTCGATATAGCAGTCGAGGGGTTTACCCGCAGGCGCAGAGCAAAAAGGGCCGAAGCAAGGCTATGAATCGCGTTAGGCGGCTGGCATATTGATAGAGCAGTAGATCGTGGGTATTTGCATGTTGTGGCATGTGTGCATGTGAAGACGGCAATAAGCTATCGAACCCTTATTCTGCAGTCGCGATGATGCCCCACCATTATGAGAACATGGTATAGCTCGTCTGCGTTGAGACGCTGCAGCACACTTGCTAGGTACAAAGGCCTAGCGGATGAGCTGCCCAGTTCACCCTTGAGGTTCTGCAATCGACAGCTGTCCAACACTTCCCTGTTCCGGCCTGTGTTCACGTTCTACAGGCAGGGTTGAGTGGAAAAGTAGAAGATGCGGGAGAGTGAATAGAAAACCACTGTAATCCACAGGTTCACTGGTTGCCTCTTCGGGCTATCGTCTGTACATATTTGAGACGGTAGAAGCTTATATCTCTTCACTGCATGTATCAGCTGTCTTCCGTTATTGGGGCGGATTCAGTTCGACGTCATCTGTGAACTGCAACTCAACTTGGACTCAATGACAGTGAAACCCTACCGTCTTCGATGGCTCCCAGGACTTGCCTATCTGGGAAGGCGCGCTTGGCGTCCTACAGGGGGCAAGCGCAATCTTCCTACCCCACCAGTCAGCCGCCCATCTCGATGCAGACCACGCGACACCAAGTCATCATCCTCCATCTAAGCCATGACTGCTGCACAACTTTCCTGCGCATTCATCCTCGCACGAGATCAACTGGCGGTGTTACTTCGACGGTTCGCCAAGTATTGATCATCTGCTGTTCACGATGCGCGAACGTCTCCGTCCGGACTCCCTAGGTACTCGACCTAGTTGCTAAGTTCATTGCAGTCCGAACTAGCTACGTCGTCGCATCTGTGCATCATAATCAAGTCCGTCTCTTTGTTCTTGTTACTTTTTCATGGAAACACTATACAAGGAAGAGGTCTGTATCGTCTTAGCTGCCTCCATACTGCATTCCAAAGGTGCGCGCCGCAGTTCACACAGCTACAAGCAAGCGTCAATCATGGCGAGTACCTTGAGAGGATATTTTATGTCAGGTACAAGCTAGGATGGTAAGAGATGTGGAGTTGCACAAGCAGCTGCGACCCTTAGCCTGCCTTGGGTGAGACTTCTTGCCGGCATGAGCCTCAACCGCACCGCGTGACCTCGCACTGTAAGGTACACACGGCACATACCCATGAAGATCCCAGCACGAGCTGCAGTCACATCGCCAGTCCAGATGTTCGGCACTATTCGTCATCCAAACAGATCGCTTATTCCTATCGCTATCATCCACGTCCCATACGATCCAACAAACTCCACATTCTCTCATTATGGCAATTCCTTTCCGGCCCGCGTCACCTGCCGAGGACCTGCCCCCATACTACCAAGACACAGGTAACGACGATATTCGACAATGCTTCCGCAACTTCGATTCGGACCGAAACTTTGATCTCTTCGACCGGCAAACAAGAGAGCACAGGAGCCGCAATTTCTGTATCGACTTCGGAGAAGATGAAGGTGATGCCTTTTGCGCTTTCGACCTCAACGACAAGGCATACAAGAAGCTGCTGGAATCGCCACGGCCGACCGAGCTACATACACGATGGATCAACATCTGGCAGCCCTACAACCAGAAGGAGCTGATCCAGACGCTAGCCTCTCACTTCGATTTCACGCCACGACTGCTGGGCATGATGACGAGCGATCATATGCCTCCACGTAACAACCCGTCACTGCGCATGAAGAAGAGTTCTTCCACACTGAGATCTGTGTTCTCGCACAAATCACAAACAACGAATATGTCCAACTCGATCAGGGAAAAGGCGAAGCAGGCGAATGAGCAAGCTCTGGATTCAGAGTCTAGTATCGGTCTGACCGAGATGATGCAATCTACACAGCTGGAGCTGGTCCGAGATTTGAGTCACTACCAGCTAGTAGACGATGTCTGGCATTGGAGCACTGTTGACCAGGGTCGGAGGTGTAAGTTCCTCTTTATGTCTAGAGAGAGGGGCCGTGGGTTGAAGAGCTCCGCTGACAGTAACGCAGACATGTGCATAGGCTACAACTCGCTACACAACGTGCGCAGCAAAGAAACCAACACCCGCCCTATCATCTCGGATAGAACCCGAGACGTGCCCCACGGCAAACGCGTATGGAACTGGCTTCTCTTATGCGAGGACAAAACCGTCATCTCGATCTCCGAAGACCCATTCCCGTTCGCCAACGGTCCTTTGACCCACGAAGACGTGAAAGTACTCTTCACAACACGTCGGAATACTGTGAACGTCTTCAGGCAACTTACGAAAGCGCCGACGCCACTAAGGGAGGCAGCGCTCACTCAACTACCCATCCGTCAACGCCTCGGCAGTAGCGATGAGGAAACAGCCCACCGTCCCACGGATGCCCCGGGCCTACTCTTCTACTACCTTTTTGAAGACTGGGGCGCAACCTTCGATCTCATCTCCCGCCGCGAACACGGCTACGCCGCCGAGCTCGACCGACTCCGACAAGAAATGCTTCAGACAGCCAATCTAACCCACGTCGACCAACTCCACCACATCGGCTGCCAACTCGCCGTCCTAAAACGCGTCTACCAAAGCTACGAATTAATCATCGAGCGCGTCCTCAAAAAGCAAGAAGCCACCCTCGCGTCACTTAAGAACTCGCACATCCTCTCCGGCAACGCCTCCCTCATCTCCTCCCACCCCGTAATAAACGACTCTCCCGGCCCCCTCGTCCCCGAAGCCGACAGCCTCCTCGGCGTAGCCCTCAGCTCCGCCGCGCGCGTCCGCTTCGAACGCCTCAAAGACCGCATCCAACTCTACGCCCTCTCCGAGATATCCGAATGCCTCGACCAAAAAGAGTCTCTCGTAATGATGAACTTCAACCTCATCGCCATCAAGGAATCCTTCTCGGTCGAGCGCCTCACCTGGGTTACTTTGCTGCTTGCTAAGATTACCATCTTGTTCACGCCTGTGACGCTGATGACGGGGTATTTTAGCATTCAGTTCAAGGGGCTGGAGTTCGAGGTGAGCAGTTATTGGCGGGCGTTTGGGTGGACGTTTGGGTTGAGTGCTGCGTTGCTTGTGTTGTTTAGTTGGGTTAGTGGGACGTTTGAGGGGAAGATTATTACGAGGAGTTGGACGAGGGCGGTTTATGATGTTGCGCATAGGTGGGTTGTTGGGAGGAGGAAGAGGGGGAAGATGCTGTAGAGGAAGGTGGGAGAGGGTGGTGGATCTATGGGCGATTAGATCCATGGGATAGAGAGGAAGTGAAGGCTGTCGCGCCAAACAGGTCATGCAATGGAACTAACATGGCTGCTCGTTGTATCTTGCGTTACGAAGCTTCTCTCGATGAACAAACTTACAAGTTTGTCTTTTACGCTCATTCGTTGTCGTTCTTTGTGGCCAATCTCAGAACACAAGCGATGAATCAACGATGAGCTGTTCTTCGAGCAATACATAAGAAGTCCTTCGCAAAGTAGTCATCAACACACACCACAAATCTCCGCCGCTATGAGCAAAGCCCAATACACCACGACCCTATGGCAGAAAGAGATGAAGGATCAAATCCTGTGTACTTCCCCCTACATAACTCCCCAATCACGTCTGCCCATCTGCTAACATTACCACTGTTTTCCAGCACACGCCCGCGCCGTATACACCAACCAAGTCCACCCGAGCTCCACATTCGACGTCGTGTTAAGCGTGTGCGATTTCAGGGAGGGAAATACAAGGCGCCGCGACGGCTACATGGCACATGTTATTGTCTACGGACGGCCCCACGAGCAGCGATGGAATTTACTTGCGTCTAGCGAACCGAAAGCTACTGGCGTGGAGGTCTATGAGAGTCTTCTAGAGGAGTTGCAATTTCATTTGTCGGGGCTGATGGATGAGTTTGGAGAATGACTATGTAGTAGCATGGGGCTGATTTGTTGGTGTTGAGAGAAGAGTCTACATCGTCGGTGGAGAGTTTGGAGGGAGAGGATACGTGAAGTTTTGCGCCTTGGACAGGGTGTTTTAATGCGGAAAGGGTGAGGTGATGGGTGGTGGATATATGGGCTAGCTGATCCAGAGGATGGAGAGAACCCGATCTCCGCTGAAGAAGCGATTGCTGTCGCTCTTCGTGACCTATCTCATGACACACAAGACTCATTTGTTACAAGCCATCCCCCCGGCCATAAATAAGAAGCCACCTGGGCATCTTCGGAAACTCCTTTCTAAATCACATCTCACAGCAACGATGACATCAACGTCGTACGAAGCCATCATGTGGGAAAGCAAAATCAAGAAGAAGATCATATCTCACGCACGCTTTATATTCGCCGATCAGGTCCGTCCTGGCACTGCCTTCGACGTCGTCACCACTATGCACGTTACCATCAAGGAGGGCCAGCAATATACAGGCTATATTTTGCATCTCATCGCCCTCGATGAGCTGGCTCACCAAGGAAAGCGGAAGGTTCTGATGTCGTCGAAGGAGAATGCTACCGAGGCGGATGGCTTGGATCTACTTATGAGGGGACTGCAGGGCAGGCTTTCAACTATGATAGGTAAAGGCGTGGAGGACGTGTAGAGTGTGTGATGCTGCTGCCAAGGGAATCGATTTATTGCCTACACAGCCGATGCGCGAGAGTGAGGCGTTACGAGACACTTATCGTACATGCCAGAAACGTGTATCAATGACGATGGGGCGCTTGTTGCTCACACTACTAGACAAGCACTATCTACAAACATTCAGGTGAGGTATATGTCTCGTGCCTTGTTCCCCTGACGCTCGATACCATAGCTACAACTGTTGTACCTCGTTTGTCTCGACACCTCTCAACAGATACCACCGTTCCTCCACTTATACACGATCTTAGCAACATGTCCATGTCCAAGTACGACACCATCTTGTGGGAGAGAGAAACGAAGCAGCAAATCCGATGTATGCGCCTCAACCCCCAACAATCATTCATTCCAAATCCCACATATCATGTATTACTGCTAACATACACTTACCTCAAAGCTCACGCACGCGCCCTCTTCAGCACCACCCACCCATACGGCTCCGAGTATGACGTCGTCCACACTTTCGACAGAGAAAACGAAGACAATGAAACGCCCTACAACACCCATCTGATCTTATATACGAAACCGCACAAAAGCGAAGAGTGGGAACGAGTACATTCGGTCAACGGTAACGTTGATGTTGCGAGCGGCTTGACTGATCTCTTGGAGTCGCTAAGGCATGTGCTGCGTCAGAAGCTGGATGAGCCGAAGGTTGCGGCGCCGGCTGCCGAACGGAATGATGACGAGGAGAATGCGACAAAGGGCAGCCGGAGGAAAGATGTAGATAGTTATCGCCCAGGGAAGAAGAGCCGTCATAGTCGTAGTCGTCGTCGTAGTCGTCGCCGTAGTCGTAGTCATGGTCGTGGTCGTGGTCGTAGTCGTAGTCATGGTCGTGGTCGTAGCCGCAGTCCGGATCGTAGTCGTAGTCGCTGATGAGTGTTCGGTTGCGAGCGGTGCAATTAATGTTCCTCCTAGACTACCGCGGCTTGATGACGACATTGGTTTTGGACTTTCGGGTGTTTGTTACTACCAAATGTAGACTAGCTGAGTACACGGGCGCGGAGGTGAAGGTTAATCCGAAGTCGCGCTTGCTTTGCACAGTACTCGCGCATCCTACTGTCTTCTACCTCACCTCATACCAGCGACTATCAGCGATGGCTCCGTCCGCGACCGCAGAGGTTAAACCCATGAACCAGTACGAGACCATTATGTGGGAGAAGGAGATGAAGGAACAGATCCTGTGTACGTAATCACTTCCCACTACTCACGCCAGAAAAACAACTAATTCGGTATCGTTCCACAGCTCATGCGCGCGCCGTCTATGGAGAAAGCTATCCCCAAGGCACCGTCTTCGACGTCGTCCACTCTCATCGTGGGATCGACCGCGCGGAAGGGTTATCGTACAACACCATCCTAGTTGTCTACATCCCGCAGGATTCACTTGTTCGCTGGAAGGGCCTGCAGAGTTGTTTCTCCAAAGTTACTGCAGCGGATGGACTGAACGCTCTGCTGGAGTTACTGCAGCTGAGGTTGCATGATCGCATCAGTAAGTTGCTCTACCCATGAGTCCAGGATTTGACAAAAACTTACACTTTTCTTCAACAGTTGAGAAGGCCAAAGCTGAAAAGGCCGCCGCGGTCAAGGTGGAGCGAGATGCGGCGGAGTGGAGGTACGGTTTGGTAACTTGAAAACATACCTAGGTAGTAGTTGGTGACAGTGGTTCTAATAGTGCGATATGCTCGCACCAGGCATTACCGAGTGGAGAGATTCGAGCTATTAGGGCAGATATGGGCTTTTCGTCGTACTAGATACACAAGCACTACCGAAAGGCATATAAGTCTACATAGCACTGCGAGAGCTACTAGCAAGGTGGATAGCAATGCGACCAATCGATGAAAAGTTCCATCTCGTGAATCTTTTCAAAACCAAGACAAATATTCGGCGAGTATGTATCTGTTGCTTCCTAGACAAGCTAGCGCGAGACGCAAGCGCGGAGGTGAAGGTGAGCGCGCGCGCGGGACCGCGTCTTGCGCAATAGATTAGAAACTTTCCACTCAGCAGCTCCGACTCTTCTATCTCCCACTGTCGCAAAACAACTGAGCTTCCAAAACTCGAAGTCCACATCACGCATCCCCGTCACCCTACCTAGTCATCATGGCCATGTCCAAGTACGAGACCATGATATGGGAAGAGAAGATGATAGAAAAGATCCTAGGTATGTATTAACCATGTAGCTGATCCCATACTATCGAATACCAGTTAATGATCGTCTCAAAGACCACGCCCACGCACTCTTCGTCGAAAAATACCCCGGGGGTTCAGTCTTCAACGTCATCCAAGGCACTACCACCGACGAAGATGGCTACGTTAAACAGGGCGCGACTCTCATCGAGACTCATCTTGTAGTCTACAAGGCCCCGTCTACGGCAGAAAAGTGGGAGTTGGTTCTCTCAAGCGATAAGGTGATGACTGTCGAGGAAGGCTTGGAGGTGCTCTGGGGTAATCTTAGAAGCCGCTTGAGCGAGAAGTTTGGTAAGTTGCGTACCTGAGACATTCAAGGGCAGATTCTGACTGTCTCTCTCTGTTGTAGATCGCGAGAGGGAGTCGTTGGTGGAAGCTTTCGTGAAGAGCCTCGTAGGGCCCGCACGCTTCTAGGGCTAGTGGCAGTACGTCTCTTCCTAGGTATGCAGCATGGACTCCAAACCAGACATTTGGTAATCGGAAGGGTGCGACAAAGAGGATGGATGTGGAGCTTTTGTCACTACATACATAACAGCCGTAACTCAGATGCCAGCGTCACTTGAAACTGCTAGATAGCAATATAATCTATCAACCGAATACTGCTATCTCATGACTGTATCCAACTCCGAGCACCGGAAGTCCATCCGGTGAGTGTTTGCTACTTCCACTATCGTTTATTCCGTTAGTCTGGGTTATAAGCGAAGAGGTGAAGGTGAGTCGTACTCTCTGTAGCTGATAAGAAACTTTCCAGCGCGACAACTACAATTCTTCCACCTCACACTTTCCGAAACATAGCAACACCACGTCGCTCCCAAGCTCGATACACTTGTCACCATGGCTATGTCCAAATACGAGACTATCATCTGGGAAAAAGAGATGAAGGAGCAGATTTCGTGTAAGCATCCTCCCCAAGCTATTTCCGCTGCTACATGCTAACGTCACTTCTTGCTACAGCTCTTGCCCGCGCAACGTACAAAGACAGCTTCTCCAATGGCTCAGTCTTCGACGTCATCCACAGCACTAGAAAGTTGAACCTCGGCGGCTTCATGTTATCCACCCCGGGCGGTGTTGACACCCACCTCATCGTCTACAAGTCACCACCCTCTGTGAGAGGTGACATGGAGATTCTCATTACTATTGAGAGTGCATCTACTGCCCGGGGTCTCGAAGTTCTCAAGCAGCAGATGCAAGATCAGCTGGGTCGTAGTCTCGGTAAGTCGCGCAGCAGTTATACCCACACTTCTAAGGTTACATGCTAATCAACTGTGATTGCGACAGAACTGGCGAAAGAGCTCCTTGCGGCATCTTCAGAAGAACCAGTATACGTCACTCTCATGGGGGATGAAGTCGACGACGCTGAAGCCGTTGTCGAAGAAGCGCGACGCTGGAGGATTAGGGACGCCTTGGGTGATCTCTGGATGAAGTTCCATGCCAGATAGGAGCTCTGAAATGAGCATTGGCCGGTCGGAAGGGCATAGCCGGGAAGATACAACGAGTCTTTTACGCGATCTACATGCAGCAAAGTGGAAACGTACACGCCATCACCTAGATAGATAGCAATGTCACTCATCGTCCAAAACATGCCATCGTGCAGACTACGTTGCTCCCGTTGCTCTTACTCTGAGCATACTAAGCCCCATGTCAGTGTCTGCCTGGAGCAAGACTGAAAATTTGCTCAGTGGTTGTTTGCTGTCTCCGCTTCGGGCTAGCTCACAACAAGAGCAGCAGGTGAGGGTGAGTCGCGCTTTGCAATTAATCATAAACTTTTCGCGCCGACAAGAAGCTCCAACTATTCTACTCCCCACCTACTCCTACAACATCCCACACTCACCAGCTAGTTGTCGGCTCACGTCATCACCGCAAGCACCATGGCGATGACCAAGTACGAGAACATCATCTGGGAGGAGAAGATGAAGGAAAAGATCATGTGTACGCGCCCCATTCTTACTCGTCCATACATCTTGAAGCTGACTCAATCAGCTCACGCCCGTATCTTGTACTCTCAACAGTTACCCCCGGACTCCATCCTCGACGTCGTCAACACTACTTCCAAGCTGCCCGGGTACGCATTCGTGGCCTACACATCCCACACTGTTGTCATAGACGGATCGAGGGGTTGGAGGATTCTCTTGTCGAGTTCGGAGTGCATGTCTCTTGGGGGAAGCCTTGAGGAGACACTACAGACTCTGCAAGAACTTCTGCAACATCGCTTGCGTAAGTAATTATTCACACACTTCCCAAGACACCGAGTGTGCGGTGCTAACACTATGTACTTACAGTGCCCCATGCACAGCCGGTGGACAAGGAGACCGACAACTTGGCTGGGCGTTCTATCAAGCAGGAACATGTCGACGGTTCAACGGATCGAACCGAGGAACAACGCCTAGAGTCAGAAAATTCGTCGGGATGGGGTTCTAGTCCTCAAGCCCCGGAAGAATCATCCAAGAAGCGGATGCGATACTAGACCACACGCCACTTGGTCTCTTCTATGAGCATTTCATGATGGACTGGGTCTCTTCCGGGCTAAGTCCTACGACGAACAACGCTGCTGGAAGGAACATGGAAGGCAATCGCAGGTCAACAGATCGAGCGTAACAAGCCTACATCCCCAGTACTTACCTGGGAATTAGCAATCAACACTGCTTGAAATACTACATACCCGTCACGCACATCAAATGAGAACAGCGTGCCATCACACCTCCTTTCAATCCCATGCCGATCACAGCAATTCATCCTCATCAACCTTCTCCCCCCTCCTCCCTGCAAGCCAAACCCTCCCACTCTCATACGCCCCTAGATACAACCCCGCCCCGATAAACGTCCAAACCCCCCTTAGCGCACCACCTCTCCACAGCCCCTTGAACCCTTTCTCCTCTACAATCTCCTTACCCACAGCCCAACTACTCTTCCTACCTTTCGACTGCGAGGGCGAAGATTTCATCGGATTAAGCGAATCCGCCGCGTCCTTCGCCGCATTCTTAACCGTATCTTTAGGGGAAGATGCGGATTTACCTAGGGCATCAACTAACCCATTCCCCCCCTTTCCCTGCCCACTTCCCTTCCCACCGTCATCCCCCGGCCCCTCAGCAGCAGCGAGCATAACCCTCGTCTTAACAACATCCACCGGCGTCGTCAGCACCGCACTAACCGCCCCAGCACTCCCCGCGCTCAGCGCCGTAATCCAGCCCATCTCGAATATCCCGCCCTTCGTCAACCCTTTATCGTCCCTATACTTCTTAATCCCTTCTTTGAGCCTCTCGAACATAGGGAATTGCATCGCGGTAAAAGGGAGGTTGCGGCCTGCGAGGGCGGTGTAGCCGCGCCAGAGGGCGAGGGGGTTGGATTGGAATTTCACTAGATGGGTGAACGTTAGGATATGTATGTCGGATGTGCATGGTCGGTTTTTGTGATGGATAGTGGACGGAGGTACTTACCAAGTGTCTGTAACGTAGCATTCTGCGATTGAGAAGTAGAAGAGACCATCTGCGCGTTTTGCTTTATAACTTCTGCGGGGGTGAGGATGGCGCATGAAACTAGTTCTGCCAGGGAAGAGGCGGAGGCGTGGACGAAGGCTATGGGGAGGATGGCTTCGTTTCTGGTATTCGTATTCAGACGTGTAAATAGCGACTTGGTGTGTTCGTAGGTTGTGAAGAATGCTCCTGCTGATGGGGTGGTTAGTAGGTATACGTTTCCCCTAATATCTAACTCTCCTCTTGTTTCGCAGATGCCTTCTTTCGCAGACATCTTCTTTCCGTCCGAACGACACATAACCTCCCAACTATTTGCTCATCAAACCTCTCCCTAACATCCCTGACATCGATGACATCCTCCCTTCCCTTCTCTTCTTTCCCTCATCCCAACAATCTTCCTTACTCATTCCTCCCATCCCTACTCTTTCCCTTTCCCTCTTCCTCCAAACCCCCATATAGAAATCTTTCACTTACAGCTCGGCAACGTAGCAATAATCACACTCCCAATCCCCTGATACACACCACGGAACAACTTTGGATCCACTTTCCCCGTCCGCGTATCCGTGTAGAGTTTAGCATATTCCGGGCTTTGGATGCGCGTTTTTATTGTGTCGAGGGGGTAGACGAGGAGGTCTACTGTGAAGGCTGCTATTGCGCCGGCCTTTTGTTATGGGTGATGTTAGCTCGGGTTCTCTTGAACAGGTTCTTCGTGTTTGGAGGTTGGGTGGGTGTGTTTGTTCGGTTCCATCTCTTTCCCATGCTCCATTCATCGCGTGGGTAAGACGCGTTGGCCGTCGTATGTACGTGGATTCCCAGCTGCCAACGCCCACGCATACAACAAACTAGTAAAGGAATATGAGAAAACTCACAATCAAAATATCAGAACTCGTATTCCCCGCCATTTCAAAGAGAAAAGGGCACGTCAAGCTGCAGATGTGTGAAGATCAGTTGTGTTCACTGGGATTATTCTGAGCCTCGTAATCGATCTTCAGGTACATACAGGGTCCGATAAAACCACATGCATGACGTCACCGATGATCTGCCGACACGACTTTGCGACCAGCGGACGACACGACTTCACGTGCCCGAAAACAACGAGAAGAATTCATGTTCATGATAGTTGATGTATGTAATGTATCGTGATTGTTGTTGTGTACTATTTTCTTTATCCCATCTCACAATTTCCATCCTCACCATGCAGTAGCAGCTCCTGCCGCGACAGTCCTTCCGCCAGCAGCACCCACGATATCAAAGAAAGAAGGGGTATATAAACCTAATCCCACCCAGGATCTCATCCGTCGTACAAGATCCCAACCCCTTTCCCCCATTCCCTAAACGCCATAGAAACACTTTTCATAAAGACATATCCATCCCATCATAGATCGAACCTGCGATCATTTCCATTTCCATTTCCATCATAAAAATCGCAAGGAAAAAAAAGAAGGGATACTACCACAAACTACTACAGCTTAGTATCCTGCCTATTAGAGTCGCTCAACCTACGGAAGGGCCCTTGCATCGTAGCACTAGGACCCGGCCTAGCACTTCCCGCACGTGTAGCGTTACTCCCGGCGCTCGCACTTGCGCCTGCGCCTGCGGTACCTGGTGTTCTGGAAGTGGCGGTAGCGTTGGAGCGCTGTTGGAGTGTCGCACTGACCACCCATTGCAGGTGCATGCGCATGTTGCTGATTGCGGCGTTGACGTGCAGCATTTCGTCTTTGGAGCGCTGGCTCTCGTTGATGATCATCATGTTGGTGCGGCCGTCGAGGTCGGTGAGCGCGTTGGAGATACGGGATACTTCTTCGCGGAGGGAGTCGTGCAGCGTGAGGAGGTGGTGGACTTGGGAGTCGAAAGGAGGTTGGGCGGAGTTGTTGCTGTCGTTTCCGCCTGGTGGGACGGGTGGAAATGAAGCGGGTGGGAGGCGGAAGTCTGGAGTCGGTGCTTGAGGGTCGGTGTCGTTGGGGTCCAGGGGATCGGTAACAGGGAAGGAGGCGTCGTTTCCGTTGGCTGGATACAGGTAGTTTGTGATGTTGGTGAGACCGTCTTCGAGGATGCCGACTTTCCTAGTCAGGGGCTCCATTCGCGCCTCGTTTCTTTCGATGCGGGCTTGCTGTTCGCGGAAGTGGGGCGCCATGGTTGCCATTGCGCAGGTTGGTTCGTGGAGTACGACGTCGGCACGCTCGGCTTGGAACTTGCATCCGACGATGGTGCCCTGGCATGATATGACATGTTTCGGGCAGTCGTTGTTGATGTGAGGCTTGAGGTCCAGCCGCAGTATCTCAGCCGAACATAGCGTGCAGGTAGTCAAGCGATTAGCACAGAGGCTCCGCTGGTGCTCCTCGAGGTCCTTCTTGAGAAGCGAAGCGTGACAGTCCTCGCAGCTGACGGTGTAATGCAAGCAGCCCTTGTGGAAGTCTTTCTGTGATATCTGCAAGCGACAGTCCGCAGCAGAGCATTCGACAGGCGTGTACTCGCAGTACAGCATGACGTGGTCGTTGACGTTGACGCGTTGGGCGACCCAGCTGCAGCCAGCCTTGGTGTTCGGGCACTTGACGACCAGCTCATCCAGCATCGTCTCGATAATCTTAGGCACCGGGCGAATGTCACTGTCGCTTTCAACAGCATGCCGGCACGTGGGACAGGTCCTCTTATGCTGTGGCGCCCATGCGTGATCGAGACACTCGCGGCAGAAGTAGTGGTCGCAGGAGAGCTGGACGGGCTTATCGAAGGGGGCGTGGCAGATGAGGCAGGTGAGGTTGCTGTCGGGCGTGGAGACGTATTCGAGGTTGGCGAACTCGGGGGGTACTTTGACGATTCGGCTGTGACGGCGCTTCGTTGAGGGTGAGTTTGAGACGCGGACGGCCAAGGGCGAGGGGCTGCTGGGAGGGCCGCCGACGGGCATTCCACCATGCTGCTCTTCGGCCCAGCCAGTCCAGTTAGCGTTGCTAGACGAGCGCGACGAGCGTGAAGACCGGCGGTCGTTCGGGGGTGGGATGGGGCTTGGCGACGACATGCTGGGGGAGTTGGTGTGGAGGGTTGGCGGGAGTTGGCGACGGATAGACGCTTATGAAAGAGAATCGCGTTCACTCGCGTCGGGGCAGGTGCAGTCGGCGGTGAGATGCGCTGTCTCGGGTCTCCTCTTGAGCGTCGATCGAGGTGGCTGTGGGGGGTTTGTTGGTCGGATGGTCGCCCTGCCAGTTATCCACGGGGGGCTGCAGAGCGCCAGAAGCAAAGACTATGTCGGGCGGTCAGGATGGCACATTCTCCCGAAGCAGAAGGGAGCATGCCGTGGCTTGGAGGTTGCGCGACAGAGCGACATGGTGCTGCCCTGGCCGCTCCCCACCAATTGGCACCAATGATTCCCCAGCCGCCCAGCCACGGCATAGTGGGCCTGTCGTCAGCGGTCCGCTCCTGGAGTGCAGCAGCCTTGCCATCTCCACTCGCGCTTTAGCTGCAACGTCGTGTGTCTGTTTCACATCCATGGATTGCTGTACATAGTCGCATCCACTCGTAATTATCAAAGTCATTCGCGCTTTCCCTCGCATCGTTCGCGCGTCCCATCTCCGGCGCATTGGGTCCCCGTACCACGCACTACACCACCGCCTGCAACCAACCTTCACCCACCACAGCCACCATGGCCACCAACCCCCCACAGCTCTTCCTCCTCGCCGACCACATCAAGCTCTCCCTACTCGAGCGCCAACGCGCCCTCTCCCTTAACCTCCCCTCCAACAGCCAAGATGGCCAGATCTCGCGCTCGTTGGAGCAATTGCGCTCCGGCATCGAGTCGCTGGAGTCGCAAGTCCAAGACACGTCGGACGAGTGAGCCCACCCGACATCTCTCTATACAGGAATATTATTTACTAATGTATCGTTAGATCAATAACATCACAACTCCCCCGTCTACGCACCCAACTCGCAGAACTAACATCGCAATTCACACCCACCACCACCAAATCCACCTCCAACACACCAACATCACCAACCCTAACCTCCCCCAACAACCCCTCCCTAACCTCCGACTTCGCCGCCGCCCAATCAAAGAAACCCGCTCCCACGCGCCAAACCTCAAAGTCCGTCCGCTTCTCAGACAACACCTCCGATGAATCCGACGACCCAAACCGCTCCTCCCTCTTCCCCTACCGCGACGACCCCTCCGATTCCACGCCCGACCAAACTTCTTTGGATAACGAGCAAATCCACCAATACCACAGCCGCGTAATCGCAGACCAAGACAGCCAACTCGACAGCCTAGGCGCGTCCATCGGACGCCAGCGCGAACTCTCCATGCAGATAGGGGATGAGCTAGACGGGCAGGTCATGTTGCTGGATGATGTGGAGGAAGGGGTGGATCGGCATGCGGCGCAGTTTGTGAGGGCGAGGGGACGGTTGGATCGGTTTAGTAGGAAGGCGAGGGAGAATTGGAGTTTGACTGTTATTGTGGTGTTGATTATTATTTTGGTGTTGTTGATTGTTATTACGAAGTGAGAGGGTGGGAAATGGCGTAATGGTTGGGTTAGATGGATGGCGTTTTTGGGTGGAAGAGAGGGTATCAGATGTTCTTTGGATTGAGATGGTATACTCAAAGATACGGGCCGTCAGTCCCATACTGCACTAAGAATGAGACATCTTATCCACTTCGCACTTTTGATCATTGCTACTACACCACTACAGCATACATATACTCCCACCAACACATATCTTCAACTTTAGAAGCTCTGTCATCCCCAATCCGAGACCAAGCTGCGTCCACCGCAACCACCCACGCCCAAACGCCACGCCATGATGCAAAAGAAGAAAAGATGGAAAAAAGGCTAGTAGTGATGCTTATAGAGCTCGAAGGGTATCGCTGTATTTTGATATGCAAAGGGAGGGCAACCGCTCGATAATTTGTTCGCTCGGCGGCGTAGGAATACGACAGATGCCATATTTTCTGTGTTTTGGAGACATGATTGTGAAGGGTCTGCTGCTCTCACGGCAGGCCGATTGCTTTTTTCGACTTGTCGTATACGACGTATGTGATTGAGACGGCAGGAACGACCTTGAGCAGATTCGGTGTGAGACCCTTGAATAACCCTCTTACACCCTCGCCCGCAATGGTCTGTCTCGTGACATCCATAATGCCCGTGTACGTCCGCGGATGGAGGACAGTACCTTGACTCTGCAGTCGTGTTCGCAGGAGATTGAGCGGGTAAACAGCACTTGCACCGAATGCGCCGGAGAAACCACCAATAGCTGCTGTCATGAAGCCACCTGGCTCGGCGTCTTGCTCGTGGCATCCGAGTCGCTTCGCGTTGCGGCGGGCGACGTAGCGTTTGAGGTACTCGAATGTACCTAGATCGAGGGCTGCGTAGGGGAAGATGCCGACGATGCCCATGGGTAGACCGCGGTAGTATGCGGGTATTCCACCGGCGTTCCACATTTTCTTTGCCGTGGCCCAGATCAGTCGGTTGCCGTGTAAGCCACCAGAGACGGTTTCGCATTGCATGCGACTGGGTTGGATTAGCGCGGGTTGAACGGATATCTTGACTCTACTCACAACTTCAGGGTATCGATGGGGTAGACGGCGAATTGGGAGACCATGCCTGAGGAACGTCAGCGCTGGTCCGATTGCATCATCCTGAGAACTCACCTGCTAGACCACCAGCAACAAACTTCGACCATGAGTGTATTATGGCGGGGTCGTTGTGTCCTTCTATCTTAGCGAAGACGCGTTTCGCAGCCTGCGCGAGTTAGGGGAAGCGGTTGGTTTATTTGACTATACTTGCCTCGTAAGAGCCAAATTTGATAGCCGATTCCGGCATCACTTTGACAACGTTCAAGCCGTTTCCTATGGCAAACGTCAACTCCAGTCGGTAGAAAGCAGTGACAGATACTCACCAGCGTACAAACTGCGCATACCGCCAGCCTGCCAGAGCTCCTTGGTGGCGGTCGCAAGTGGCCTCCAAGCATTCATGGCAGCTTTGACAATGTTGCCATGCTTGGCGGCAACGACAGCTTCTTCCGCAACATTGGTCTGGGCGATGAGGTAGACTTTCAAACGATCGAGCGGAGCAGTGGAGGTGCGAGAAACAATGCCTGCAACGCCTCCCGCCACGAAATAGCCTGGATTGGGAACACAAGCAATCAGCATGGTTCCTAAGCTCTCTATAAGTCCTGCCCGTATCTCTTCGAGAGGAGCGCTGCTCGTCTCGTGTGCAGACCGTGGCGGGAGGGTACCTTGGTAGGCAAGTGTCGAAGTAGATGAAGCCATGTCGAGCGGCGCGCTGGGCTCTGGCGGAAGGGGATTGTAGGGCGGTGTGTGCGCTACAATGAAAAGGGAACCAAAGAAAAAACGAAGAAAACGCTGTGTAGTACCTAGGCCTTGGATTGTGTCGTCACTAATGGCAACGTCGCCTTCCTGGTTTACTTTCATGGTGGCGGAAAAGTACGACATTACGGCGCCGAGGGATGGTGCGCTGACTGGAATGAATAGAAGAAAGTCCCTAATCATAGTCAGTAAGATTCACAAAAGTCCTCCATGCGACATCCATGCAACACATCTCGAGATCTTGTCGCGATTTTAGGCCAAACGACAATGGTCTCAGTCGGTTTGCGCTTCCACCGTGTGAGATGCCACTCCAATTCCACCCGTTGTGACGATCGCAAACTGATTGGGTACATACCGCCATTCTTCAAAACTGATGCACCCATCATTGTTGGTGTCCACTTCCGAAAAGAACTTGTCGAGATTACTGTTGGGCACTGTGAGGCCGGCCGTCCGCAAAGCTGAGCGCAGCTCGTCCTTGGAGATCTTGCCGTCGTGGTTGTAGTCGATGGTCTGGAATAGGTGCTGAAGCTCCTTTTCGGTTTCGTGTACGAATTTGCGGAATTCTGGTATCGCGTCAGTATACGTGTAATTCGGGTAGAGAGAACGTATCCACCTTGGTATGTGATGCTTCCATTCCCATCGGTATCTACAGCCTGCATCACCTCGTCCAGGAGCTGGTCCGCATTTTTCAAGGCTACAATGTCGGGTTAGCGGCCTGAAGTCTGCGCGCAACATGCTCCCTTACGATGATCCAGCTTCCGCAGCCCCTTTTTGAGGCCTGCGAGGTCAAGATGGCCCTGTTTGCGCGTGTCGAGAGTTGCCCATAGTTCGTCCACCCTGCCGTCGGCAACGCTTGCGCTCTGTGTGTCCATTGTCGTCCTGCTATCTCCGGTCTATCATGGCTGAGGGTCGCGACACACACGGGAGGGCGACTATCGGCACCGGGCGAGGTGAATTGCGAGAGGAATGGCTGGCTGGGAGGGACACGGGCTCGTATAGGCTTCGACGTGGGGTATGAGGTCAGTCTCAAAGCTTGGAGAGGGCGGCTGAAAGAGGCTAGCTTCCCATGCCGCAACACCGAGGGAAGCCACGACAGGAGCCTAACATTCGCTCGCATCTGATTGGACACCGCGTCTGAACCCCGACACCTCTTCTACGCTTCACATTGCACTCACTTCATACCGACACATCGTCCGATAATGCGTTGAAATTTTACTTCTCTGTCGCCGTGTACCCGGCCTACTGGTCCACTGGCGTCTGCTCCAACAAACTGTATTCAGCCTGACGAAATCGCATCTGGTATCGAGGCGACATCTGAGAAGGCCATTAAATCACTCGAAGAGCATACGAATATATACTGCAGTGGCTTGAACGGGTCGATCATTCCATCTCCACGTTAATTCATCGCATCGCACTCGCCCATCATGTCTTCCAGTTACTGGGAGTCAACCCAGCGAAAGTTCTGGACTTTCACAAAGCAAGAGCTGGCACTTGAACGAAAGAGAATGGAAGATGCAGAGAGGAACCTGGTCAACCTATATCCCTTGCCAGACCGGCGGCATCTGAGCATTTACTTTTCACATCGTCAGTAACGTGACCTGATAATTCGGGGTTATGCTGACATATTTTAGAATTGTCAAAAATGGCAAGACCATTGGGAATTCGACAGCAAGCTTTGGCTACTGCTCAAGTATACGTCCGAC